TCCCCGCGGCCCGGCCCGGCCCCCGCTCGACGCTTCCCCCGGGCCCGGCCCGGCGCCCCCGAGCTCTCACCTGTCCCGGGCCGGCGGTCGGGGGGTCCCGGGGGGTTCCCGGGGGTCCCGGGGGATCCGGGTGGCTCCAGGGCCGGCGGGGCCGCCTCAGCCCCGGCCGCACTCCAACGGTCCCCCTGAGGGGATCGGGGCCGCCTGAGAGTCACAGCGTGTCCCGAGAACCGTCCCTTCACAGCCGAGAGACACAGCCCGCCCTCACAACCATCCCCTCACCCCTCACACACACAGCCCGCCCTCACAACCATCCCCTCACCCTCACACACACAGCCCGCCCTCACAACCGTCTCCTCGCCCCTCACACACACAGCCCGCCCTCACAACCCTCCCCTCACAGCTCCATCCACAGCCCGCCCTCACAACCGTCCCCTCACCCCTCACACACACAGCCCGCCCTCACAACCCTCCCCTCACAGCTCCATCCACAGCCAGCCCTCAGTCCAGCCCCTCAGCTCCAGCCCCTCAGCACTCTACCAGTCCCCTCTCAAGCTCAGGCCCTGGGGCAGTTTAGCACTGTCGGACACTTGAAGACCAAGCAGCTCCGGGGAGCCATTAGAGCCCCTTCCAGTGCCTAAAAGGGCTCCAAGAGAGCTGGGCAGGGAGTCTGTACGGAGGCCCAGCGTCCCAGCGGACGCGGAACGACCCCACGCCGCCGCAGGGCCGGGGCAGATGCGTCGTTCCCGGATCCCTTTTTTCCCGCCGTTCCCGCCGCCCTCCCGCGCCGGGGCCCTCCCGGCCGCCAGGGGGCGCCGCGGCCGCGGGGCGGGGCTCGGTGACGTCACGGGCACGCCGGGTGGGCCGATGCGGCGGCGGCAGCGCCGGGAGCGGGAGCGCCGGGATCACCGGGAACACCGGGATAACAGGGATCGCCATGGAGTACGTCAGCCCCGAGCAGCTCGCCGGCTTCAGCAAGTACAAGGTACTGCCGGGCACGGGCACCGGCGGGCGGGCCGCGCTGCGGGGCCCCGCGGGGCCTGGCGGCGGCGGTGGGGGGGGCAATGAGGGGCTGCCGGGCCTGGGAGCGGGGTCTGGGAGGGGGTTTGGGGTACATCGGGCGGGGGGGGCGGATGCGGCGGGGCCGGGAGGGTGGGGTTGGGCTGGGGGTGCCGCGGGGAGGGCTTGGGGTTTTGGGGAGGGAGGGCTGCAGGGGGACACGGGGTTTTGGGGAGGGAGGGCTGCAGGGGGACACGGGGTTTTGGGGAGGGAGGGCTGCAGGGGGACACGGGGTTTTGGGGGGGGGGGGGGGTCTAGGGGGGGGCCCGGGGTTTGGGGAGGGGACTGCAGCAAGACCTGGGTTTCGGGGGGGTTGTGGGCATTGAGAGCCCGCATTTGGAGGGGCCTCCAGGGAGACCCGGGGTTTGGGAAGGAGGGGGCTGCGGTCCCGGGTTTGGAGGGGGAGCGGGGGCTGCAAGGACACACGGGGTTTAGGGGGGGCTGCAGGGAGACCTGGGAGCTTGGGGGGCCTTAAGGGAGACCCGGGGTTTGAGAGGGAGGGGCTGCAGGGAGACACGGGGCTGGGGGGGCTCTGGGGACCGTGTGAGACGTGGGACCCCCCCCCCTTTGCTGGAGAGGTCAGGGGGACCGTGCTGTGCCCGGGTGGGGCAGTGGCACTGTGACCCCATCCCAGGCATCCCTGGGGGGGGACACACCTTCACAGGAGAGTGGGGGGGATCACATTCAGTGCGTGTGGCCCCCCCAGCCTGTGGGAGGGCAGTGGGGGGCATTGCTGGGGGCTATTAGGGAGGGAGCTGTGGCAGCTGCCCTGTGTGCCCCCCTCCTCCTGGGCTGGGCTGGGCCCAGGGAGTCAGTGGTGGCCTGTCACTACACACAAGAGAGGTCTGTGGCTGCCTCCCCCACAAAGGGACAGCAGAGGGGGGGCTCTGGGTGCCCTGGGAGCACATCCAGCCCAGGAACTGCCCCACATTGAGCTCCTGCCCCGGGGCTCCTCCGTGCAGTCACACCCACGGAACCCACACTGGCCCCGTCTCCTCTGCCAACTGCGCCTTGTTCAAAGCACTGGGAGCCTTGGAGGGAAGCGCTGGAAGTGCAAAGAGGCTCTGCCGTGGCACTTAAATCCCTGGGGGCTCACCTTGGGCCAAAGGAGGTGACACCCTTAACACAGGGAGCACTGAGTCCTGTGTTTACGTGGAGAGGAGGCTGGTTTCCATATTTTTTCTTCTCCCACCCCAGCAGTGAAGCAGCACCTCACCTTCTTTGCTTCGTTGTTCTTGGATCCATCATGTTGGGCCAGGTTGCAGTCATCCCTCCAGGGTGGTCTGTGGGGTGTCATTTAGGAGTGTGGGACAATCTGGACAAGCCTGATGCCCACAGGGAGCAAAGCTCCTCCTGGAGCAGTCCCTGGGGGCAGGAGCAGCTGGGCCTTGCTCTCACTCTCCTCCTGCACACTCGGAGCTGGTGAGGGGGAGGGAGGTGGGCCTGGGAGAGCGAGCTGGATGGATGTGACGCGGCTGCACAGAGCTCCCTGGGCCAGGCTGATGATGGTGGCTTGGTTTGGGTGCTGAAGACCAATGAGCAGAGCCCCGAGCTGTGAGCCAGGCCTGCCCCAGTCACTGGCTTGGCTCCTGCAAACACAAAGCTTTGGTTAATGAGGGAGCCTGTCGTGGGCTCAGCCCGTTCCCACTCATGGGGTCTGCCTTCCCTCTCGGCACCTGTGCAGTGAGGAGGGGGGTCTCCAGCTGCAGCAACCCCCTGACTTGTGTAGCAGGCACCAAAACCTGCTCCTGGGTTTTTCCTGAAGACGCTTCTGGGGGAAATGCTGCTGCAGTTAAACCTGGGAGAGGAGCCCTGGGAGCTGAGCGGGGCGAGGAGGGAGGTCCTACACAGCACAGAAAGCACTTGCTGTCCCCAGTTAGGCACTGGTGGTGTGTTCCCTGGCCTGGGTTTGGGTGGCACAGGCTGAAATGTGGGACCTGTGTCCCGAGGGCAGGGGTTCTGCTGCCTGGCAGGAGGAGCTTTGCTCCAGAGCCTGTGGTTTTACTGGGTCAGTGGAGACTTTGATAAGAGTGGGCGGGTTCATTTAGTGCTCAAAGAGCATCATCTCTGCCTCTGTCCTGCTCCCTTCTTTCCTTCCTCTGTCTCTTGTTTCCTTGGGGACCCTTGTTCCTGGCTGGTTTAGCCTTGAGGAAGTGGCTGATCCAGCACAATTCTCTGGTACTGGGTCACATATTCCAGCCTTGCTTTAGGCATTGAGGCTTGTCATGCTCTGCCCTGTCCAGATTCCAAAGCTGGTTGACCTTATCAGGCTCCCAAATCGGGTTTGGCTTGGGAGGGACCTTAAAGCTCATCCAGTCCCACCCTCTGCCATGGGCAGGGTCACCTTCCACTAGCCCAGGTTGTTTCAAGCCCCATCCAGCCTGTCCTTGGACACTTCCAGGGATCCAGGGGCAGCCACAGCTTCTCTGGTCACCCTTCTGCAGCCCCTGAGTCTGGCTCAGCCTTTAAACCATGCCTGGCAGAAGCTGCTCTGGCCACACACCGTCCACACGAGTGGATTTTGGGGTCCTGGAGGAGGCAGCGTGTCCCAGGGAAGGAGCACGTCCTCGGAGGGGAGCTGGTGTCCCTGCAGCTGATCCAGCAGGAGCAGAGGAGCTTCATGCAGGATGATCCACAGCTCCCTGCAGCCCTGGCTGGGTGTCCCATGCCGTGGCTGCCGGGAGCACAGATGGGGAGTGGTGAGTTGGGAGCCCAGATGGTTTCAGCTTTGCAGAGTGAATGTTTCTGCAGGGGGGACAGGCAGGGGTGTGCTCCTGCTGGCACAGGCTGGCAGGGGGAGAGGGACCTGTCCTTTGGCTGCTCTTGAAGGGCCACTGAAGAGCTGCTGTGCCCCAGGAAGCCGCGTGGCACAAGGTGCTGTCGGAGAGGGTTCAAAGGTTTAATGGTACTGGAGTCGTTTTCCTGGAGGTGTTGGTGGCAGTGGCTGGACACGATCCCAGCTGTGCCCAGGGGGGCACCAGGTCAATGGCCCCAGGGCTGTGCCAGTACTGCTGGGGCAGCAGAGCCAGGGCAGTGCCCTCCCCGTGCTGGCACTGCTGGGGCACCTCCAGTGCTGGGGCAGCTCTGGGACCTCACACAGGAGACACAGGGAGGGGCTGGAGCGTGTGCAGGGAAGGGAAGGGAGCTGGGAAGGGGCTGGAGCAGCAGGAGCAGCTGAGGGAGCTGGGGGGGCTCAGCCTGGAGCAAAGGAGGCTCAGGGGGGACCTTCTGGCTCTGCAACCCCCTGACAGGAGGGGGGAGCCAGGGGGGGTCGGGCTCTGCTCCCAGGGAACAAGGGACAGGAGGAGAGGGAACGGCCTCCAGCTGTGCCAGGGGAGGCTCAGGTTGGACATGGGGAGGAATTTCCTGCTGGAAAGGATAGTCAGGCACTGGCAGGGGCTGCCCAGGGAGGTTTGGAGTGCCCATCCCTGGAGGTGTCCCAGGAAGGCCTGGCCGTGGCACTCAGTGCTCTGGGCTGGGGGACAAGGCAGGGATCAGGCACAGGGGGGATCCATGGGCTGGGAGGGCTTTTCCCAGCTGAAGGACTCTGTGATTCTGTACCTGTAACACTTCTGCAGCAGGGAATTCTTTGGGGGTGCACATGTACCTCTGGGGACAAGCTGAGCTGAATTGAGAGGGAAGGGAACAGCTCCATCTTTGCAGGTGCCGTGTCCCAGCCCTGCCTCAGCCCGGGCTTCCCCCAGGAGCAGACAGATCCCAGGGGGATGTGCTCCAGCCCCTCTGGCCTGCTGGCCGGGTGTGGGTGGTGGGTGGTGCTGGCAGGGGGGAGGTGTTGGTGTCAGACATGCCCTGGGCTGAGGGCAGGCCGTAGGTGCTGCCCCTGGAGCAAAGCACAGCGGGCTCTGCTCCCGGAGGGCTTGGGGTGTCCTCTGCCAAACCCAACTCTCTGTCACTGTCCAGCACTGGGGGCCCCCTGCCAAGAAAGCTGCGACCAAGGCACTGCTGTTTCCAGGGGAAACCTCCCAGTTGGATGCCAGAGGTCGGATTCTTAAAACCTGTCTGCAAATCAGCTTCGGGCCAGATTCTGGGCAACCTCCTCCTACAAATTTATGGGAAGGGGGGAGAATGGGACCATCTGGAACGTTTACAGAGGTATCTGCTCCTGTCTTGCTTTGTCTGCTGCAGAGGGACTTTTCATGAGGGCCTGGAGGGACAGGACCAGGGGGAATGGCTTCCCACTGCCAGAGGGCAGGGTTAGATGGGATATTGGGCAGAAATTATTCCCTGTGAGGGTGGGGAGGGGCTGCCACAGGTTGCCCAGAGAAGCTGTGGCTGCTCCTGGATGCCTGGAAGTGTCCAAGGCTTGGAGCAACCTGGGCTAGTGGGAGGTGTCCCTGCCCACGGCAGGGGATGGGACTGGATTCATTTAAGATCCCTTCCCACCCAAACCATGCTGGGATTTGATGCTGTGGCTGAGGGCACAGTGCTGCAGCTCCACGTGTCCTGGCAGTTACAGCAGCTCCCGTGGTTTGTCCCTGTCTTTCCATATTCCAGTCACGTGCCCTGCGTTCCCTGTAGCCTTTCCTCACCCAGTGCTGTCTGAGCTGCTTGTGATTCCACATGTTCCAGCTCTACCCCAGGGGATCCTGCGCTCTGCTGGTGTCTTCTGGTGTGATGGAGCCACTGGTGACCATTCCCAGGGCTGTGCTCCCTCTGTGGCCCCTGGATCCAGGTGCTGTAGGAGCAGGGAAGGCCCTGGAGGGAGGAGTGTTGTGCAGGAGGCTCTGGCCCAGGGTGGGTCTTTGCTCCTGTGAGTTCCTGGCCATGGAGGGGTTGAGGAGCAGGTACAAACCTCTGTCGTGGTGTCACCTGGACCTCAGGCATTGTCCTGGGGAATCATGGTCTGGGGGAGACGCCAGTAAAGGAGGATGTGGGAGTGCCACTCCTGAGCTGTGGCACGGGAGG